TAAGGATTTGGATTGGCAGATTAACATTTATTAAAGGGATCCATGATTAGTTGTAACATTAGACTTTATTTAATAAACATATATTTTAACTGTAAAATAAAGACTGTAAAAATACTGTAGGATGTTCAGTCTTTTTCATTTTTAAACTAAAAGTTTAAAAATATATTACACGGACGGGGCCATTTTATTTACACTTGAAGCATTCTGGGTAAATGATGACGTGGATAGGGTCCTCGGTGCGAGGCTGCTTGCGAGCTATATCCACCCTGAAGGTTAATCTTGAACAATATATGACGATTGACACTTAAATGAAACCAGAGAGCGTTGACAGAGAGGAGAAGGTAGAAATGACTCAGCCTGTAACTGAAAATATAGATGGAGGACAACAGAGCTGCTTCATGGAAGAAGAACCTCAGCTTAGCCTGTTAGCTTTAGCGTTAGCCCCGACGCTATCACCATATATATGTATTAGCTCAGCACTACACATTCTCCTCGTCACTGAGGTCCTCCATCCACATGACAGAGAGGGGCACGTAAAAATGACTCAGCCTGCAACTGAAAATATGGATGGAGGACCTCAATTTAGCTTGTTTGTCGCGCTAGCGCTGAGCTAATACATATAAGGCAATATAGCGTCGGCACTAGCGCAAAGGCTAACAGGCTAAGCTGAGGTTCTTCTTCCATGAAGCAGCTCTGTTGTCCTCCATCTATATTTTCAGTTACAGGCTGAGTCATTTCTACCTTCTCCTCTCTGTCAACGCTCTCTGGTTTCATTWAAAAGAGTCGATCGTCAGATATTGTCCAAGATTAACCTTCAGGGTGGATATAGCTCACTCACACTGAGGACCTATCCACGTCATCATTTACCCAGAATGCTTTATGTGTAAATAAAATGGCCCCGTCCGTGTAAAAATATATATTTTAAAAATTTATGAAACTGAACATCCTACAGTATTTTTACAGTCTTTATTTTACAGTTAAAATATATGTTTATCAAATAAAGTCTAATGTTACAACTAATCAGGGATCCCTTTAAAACTAATGACCTTAGAAAACAATATGTAGCAGAGACCTGAGCAGTTTGTCTTCTGAGAGCTAATTAATTTACAGTATTTACTTTTTAAGCTACTATCTTTGGATTGGAATAAAAATAAGTGGAAAGTATTGCTTGTTGAAGTTGAACTTAAAAGTAGAGGTTTAAAACGTGCACAGTAGTGGTAATTTTAGTCAAGTTAAGGGTTTTACTCATCACGAAAAGTAGAAAAATGAGAATCTTTTATTTTGTGGACTTCTTTTGTTTCTTCTGTAAATGAGGGATGATTACTGTCGTTCCATGAGAACCCTGAGAAGCAGACACTTCTTTGAACACAGACAATCTGGTCTAAYTTATTCTATTTTCAGTCTCCCCAAGAGAGATCCCGGTTTGGGACCCATGAGCTCACAGACCTATAGCATTGTGATTATTTCCTCCAGCACATTTCAGTTTTAGTTCATCATGGGAGAGTTTTTGTTTTTCTTTTTTTCTTCTGCTGGCAKGAGTTGTAGAGCCAGTCAGGTTCAGTTGTTACCCCCTTCCATCGGGAGCTGGGACYGCTGTCGGTTGGTTGGGGAGCAGCAGACCAGAGAGGACCTGAACWGATGATCACACAGTGTTAAAACTCAGCAGGACACCCAGACCTACATGAGTTGATCAGAGGTGGGATCAGCTTTCAGCCCCTCTGCAGGAAACTGCATAATACCGACACTGCAGATTGAGTTTCTGCCAKCCTCTCGGCTGTTCGCTTGTATTGAGGGAGTACMTTTGTACCTGTGTGTGTGCGTATATGTTGTCTTTAGTTGGCTTCAGATTTAGGGCTGGCAAAATTAGAGCTGTCATTACGCAGGGCTGTATAGGAGGTTTCTTTGAAGCCCTCAGAGCGACTAAGGGGAGGCAGTGCTGGGATTAGACAGTGTGAAACCCTTATGTCGAAAAGAAGTGTGTGTGTGAGTGCCAGATAAGCGACTGCAGATCTGAATGTGCAGGCATGTCTGTGTGAGGTGAAGGGGAGCATGTGAGAAATGTGAAAGAGATGGGCGCAAATGGAACAACTCAAACCTCATGATCTTTTGCTCGTAAGGAGATGAGGAAGACAAACACCCTCAAGAAGAAAACTCGTGTGTCATGGAGCAAATTTAACTCCTGACAAACAGATATTCTGACATCAGATTATTTTTTTAATGCTTTTCTGTTAGATGTGTGTTCACTGCACTGTCTCTAAGCTTCTCCTCCTCTAAGCCCATTTATAGACTGAAGGAGACATTAATATTAGATTAGTAAGCCCCTTTGGACTTGCTGTCTTTACTCATATCTGTGGACACACACATATGAACACATAAGTATGCACACATAGTTGTTTCCCATCAATTCAGAGCATCTTAAATTGACCTGAATAAATGTCCTGGAGACTTACTGGAACCTAAATTTAGATTTCTGCTTCTCTGTTTGATTCGGTTATTTCAGAAAGTCTAAAATATCTCTCCGTGAACAGATTTTACATGAATAAAACACATCATGACGAAGGAAGAGAGGAATAATTAGTGAAGAAGAAAGAATCCTCCTATCCTCAGAGGAGGTGGTTTAAGTGTTATGGTTGGTCAGGATCTTTCCTAAGTGCTGCTGGGAAATGGAATGTAGGCTTCCAGTCAGTCAGGTGACGTGCGGCTCTGGTCATGTGACCGCGGGGCCACGTGATCGCTGGAGAAAAGAGCCAGAGAAGAAGAGTCTCGACATACAAACACTGACGATTTGTCACTAATGGGCTATCCTCAGGGAAGTGGATGTTTGGGGGGGATATGCTGGGATAGGTTTTCTCTCAGACACGTTGTTTCTGACAGCCTCTGTGTGTATTTCAAGTGCACCGATGTGTGTAGATGCTGTGTGCGAGGAAGTCATATGATGAAGGTGAGGCTTATACAGTACGACAACATGAGATCATCTCAGAAGCTCGTCTAATCTCCGAAGCAGCTCATGGGATTTTCTAATTGCTTAAAAACATTTCAGACTTGCTCATTGGGACGTTTACTGGCTGTTTTTTTGTTTTCAAGCACTGGAGATTATGTGAAATGTTGAGGACAACTGGCTCCTCACTGGAACTCTTATTTAGTTGCAATTTAAATAAATGTTACAGCTTTTTCTGGTTTTGCATGACCTTAAAATTAATGCTGCAACATTTTCACTCCTCATTTTTCCCTATTTTTCCCCAAAGTGTTAATGTATCTGGTGAAATCCTCTTGTTATTGCTGTGGGGCAGTTTATATTTGGAAAGTACAGCTAAAAAATATATTGTCACTGCTAAATTTGGGCGTAAATCCCCTTAGAAATGAGGATTCATCAGCTCATTTTCTTGCTGTCAAGCACCAGTGATTGTGCCATTTTGGGGGGCAGCAATGTGCCAAATATGTCATCTGCAATTAGACTAAAAAATGGAATTAGAGAACCAGAGACACTCTTAAAAAAATCAAATAAACACAAAAATATAGGATATACAAGCTTTTTAACAATGCCACATTTTAAAGTTAAGCTGAATACAGTATTTTATAAAACACAAAACCTATAAAGCCTTTTGGTCTCCTGAGATGAAATCTTTGTAAACACCACAGGCAGGAGCTGCTGGTGTTCATGTTTCAAACCACACGTGTTCCTAAAAGGTCTTTTTAAGGAACTGAGCCACCCACACAGCCCAACACRTCTGTTTATTGAGGTGTCAAAGGTAGAGATGGAAGAATGTGAACTTTAACTTTTTTTTAATAGCTTGTTTCGGCCAAGCATTTTTGGCAGATGAGTGCAAAATAAAACTATTTTGCATTAATGCTGATTGTAGGTTTTTATTTGCACAACACTTCAAATTTGATATTTTACCACTAGAGCTACATCTGCTATTCCATTTGTCACAAAGACTCTGACATAAAGTTGTAGCGTTATGGTCCAGATCAAAAGAAGATGGAACAGAAAGCAGCTTCAGACACAATCTAATGGATGTTTGGGGCTTTCTGAGTGAAGATGAAAAACAAAGCGTTCTTCACTGGAAAGAGATCATGACAGTGTTTTCTGATAGGATCAAATTTCACATTTTCTCTCTCTTTGGGTTTTAGTGTTGTGCTTTTATGTTCCACAGACTTTATCTCCTCCTGTTTTTTTGCCTAAATTGTTTCTTCTTATCTGCTGATTAGCTCTTCTAGTTCCTTTCCTCTGGATTTGATTGTAATTGCATTCAGTAGAAAAGTGATGTGTCTGATTTTGGTGGGGGGAATCATATTCAGTGTGCATTGCCAATGCAATGCACACTATTGTGATTCGTTTACCATCCAAGTCATCTCCACTTTGGCATGCTTCTCCTCCTGCATACTTTGTCCTAGAGCTGCCATTGTAATTTAAATCTGTAAAGCTCCTGTGCCAAATGATTGCAATGCCTTTTGGTGCCTGTACATCCTATAGTTTTTGAAATATTAATGTTTAAAATAAAATAATGGGAGTCAATGGAGCCTTGTATTGGTCCAATACTGCCCCATGCTGTATCTACTCAGTACTGCACCATAGTTTAATACTATTTAAACTCAGTAGTTCAGTGTTTACAATACAAACATGATTATATTTTGATATTTCACTATAATATTGTCCTAATATTCTTTACTGTTGTAATATATTGCAGTTTAGTGTCAACAATTGCATTGGCAATATGGCCTMTTTCAGCACACATACAAATCTAACACTGGGAGTACCTACTGCAATAGCTCCTATAGTCTCATGGTGAACACTATGGGCTTTCATGTGGGAGATCAGGGTTCGATCCCAGCCATAAACAAAATATTTCATTAAAACTACCGGTACATATTTTCACATTGTCATATTCTCACACAATTACCTTCTTTACAAACAATTGCTGACTTGGCAGGCATAAGCTGGTACTTGATTAATTAACAAACACATTTCAACTTAGTCACAGTTCAAGCTGCAGGCAAAGGCATGCTGAAATGGCATGTTACAAGGCAATGCACACTTGTTTTTACATCATAAAAACCCATGTCTAGTTATCCTTAACTTTTTTTTAAATGCACAGAGTTTTGTTTTTCTTTGTTTTGCCTGTGCTCGACTAATTGTCCCTCTCCGTCCTGTTTTCCAGGACCGTAAGCTGTCCAAGTCGGAGCGTCAGCGGTTCAAAGAGGAAGCCGGGATGTTGAAGGGTCTCCAGCATCCTAACATTGTCCGCTTTTATGACTCATGGGAGGGTTTGTGCAAAGGAAAGAAGTGTATTGTTCTTGTCACCGAGCTCATGACATCTGGCACTTTAAAAACGTGAGTACATGAGAGATCACCTTAAATTTGTAAAAATGGCGGAAAAAATTGTCACTACACTATAAAACTTCCTTTTACACATGCAAGCTGTTACTTTGTTTTCTAGTGCTTCATTGGTTTCACACTCAAATTTGTAGAAGTTGAGCCGTTAGCATATTAGCTAATGAGACTAACTCATTACTAGGGGAGTGTGTGTTGAATATTAAATAAAGTCTGYGCCTCGACATGCGTTTCGGACCCTCACCGGCCCACCTGTCAGCGTTTGCTTCAGCTGCAGATTCCTCCCATTCCCGACATTTTTCCTCTGTCGGTGGTGGAGGCAGACAGATGGGTGACTGAGCTGACGGTTTCATACGGTTCCAGAGATCAAAGCAACAGAAGCAAACCGGATTGAGTGAGGCGCCCGCAGGTGTCATAAATGTGGTGTGACAAACTTTTGACTCACCTGTAACAGCAGAGGGAGAAACGTTGCAGCTGCACAGTGCTGGTAAGGGCAGCAGCACCCTCCACTGGAAAACTGAAAAGCTTTTCTTTAAATCCCGTCTAAACAAACGCAGCATGCAGTTTGCATTTATGAAAAAAATCTCATGATTTTAGCATTACTTTTTTCACTTTTTAGCAATACGTTTACCTTTTCTAAACAAAAATGTGTGATTTAGATGATTGCATCTGGTTCAGTATCACATAACCAGCTAACAAGAAGCTAAAAACATTAACCGTACACAGCAGTTGCCTTTTATATTAGAATATTAATGTTTGACTCAATGTATGGAGGTAACCTGAACTTCATACACTACCCCTACGGAGCATGTTGGTGTGCTAACAAACAGGATGAAGGCTGCACAGGGGTTCGGCTGCTGTCCAGATAAATACTCAGAAAGGAGAGGTGCTGCTCTGTGCTGAGGCAGTGGAAAAAGAGAGAGTGATGACAGGAGAGGGGTGGTGAACTGATAGGGAGGGAGGAAGATGTTGAAGATGGAAACACTGACCAGTACTGGTTCGGCTTATAAGAGGCTCCTTATCGATGTCWGCGTGAGGGAGGTTATGAATTTTACATACGTTTAAAAAAATACATAGGTGAGGTTTATGTGCTGGAGCTGGAGGAGCTCTATAGTAGCGGGGGGCTGTGCAGCTTCACTGTAACGTTGCTGCGTGCCACAGGGTTTAACTTGTCTGTCAGCACTGTTCTGTCTTCAGAACAGGAGGAGGAATAAAAGTGGGTGAGTGGGAGGGGAGTGGGTGATTTATAAAGGTGAATTAAGGTGTTGGAGACAGTGGAATTATGTTACGCAGATGTACGTTTTTTTTTTTGTTGTTTTGGCTTTTAGTATCCTCCAGAAGGTAGATGTATTTTTTTAACCTTCTCTGATATGAAGGTAACTAAAACCCTGCAGAAATGTTGTGATTTTAATCACAAACATAGTTACAGAGGACCTAAAACTACGGTTGGGCATAATCGTATCGTGTGCAATTAATCGTCAGAAAAACAATCGATTACTTTTTGACACTTGACGATTAATATGATTAATCCCACCAGGCAGATTGACTGGGGATTACTCCGGTCAGTCTGCTTGGTGCTCTTCTCTGCTTCAAATATGACGAACATTAAAAATAAAGTTCTTTAATTTATTTATCTATCAACACAATTTTACATATGATGTATAGCCTGAAATCTGTAATTTTCACACAATTTGGAACAATTCTTCATAAAGAGCAAATCTTTCCCACTAAATTGGTCATGTGAATACGAAATAAGGGTGTCCAGGGGATTAATCGTCAAATTAATCATTATTAACTAAATACCACAATTAATCGTGATTAATTTTTTTGCCAATATTGCCCAACCCTACCTAAAACACGTTATTATTTMAATTAACCAAAGTTATCTGGTCGTTTTCTTAGAGTACGATAAAAAATGAATGAATACACACCCCCTTTTAAAATAAGTTAGAAGTCTTTTGGTGCCATCAAATGGAAATTTCTAAATATTCCTGGCTGTTTAATGCTCTTTCAGTGCCGTTAGAGACACAGAGCTTTTTCTAACTCAAGTGGACAGATGTGCGTTTGCTGCAGTACAGCAGCTGCTTGGAGGCTGGAGCCTGACTTACTGATCTGCTCTTCTTGTAGTCTCTGTCTGGACGAAACAACAGCCTGTTCTGTAAGATCAGTGTGAGGCTCTGCTTTGGTTTGGCTGAACCCCTCAGATCTGATTGGCTCCAAGCTTGAACTCTGAATTACATAAACAAAATAAATCAGGTACAACATTAGGTGTTGGAATGAAACAGATTTATTCAATAAATTAATAAAATCTCTGTCGTCATTGTGTTGATTTGGAGTTCTGATCATTCTGATGCTGTGTGAAGCAGGTGGACTGACATTTAAACAACCTCATAGTGTTCTGACTAAATAAATAAAAGCTTTTGAGTGCTGTTACTTTGCCCTTTAATCAAGCTCTTTCATACTTCAATACATTTTATTCCTTCTCGACATGGTGATGGTTTGTTCTGGAATAGTGAGATGGTCTCTAATTTAGCAGGTGCCACAGCTTCAGTGAGCACAATCATATGACTTTTGAGGATCTCTTTAATCTGACGGTTGCATAAAATGTTTTTGTTTTTGTTGCGTTATCCTTTGTTCCTTCTTCTCCACTCTCTTTATTGTGTTCACCTCCTTTCTCCCACAGTTACCTGAAGCGTTTCAAGGTCATGAAAATCAAGGTTCTGCGCTCGTGGTGCCGACAGATCCTCAAAGGCCTTCATTTCCTGCACACCAGAGCTCCGCCCATCATCCACAGGGACCTGAARTGCGACAACATCTTCATCACGGGGCCCACGGGCTCGGTGAAGATYGGAGACCTGGGCTTGGCCACGCTGAAGAGGGCGTCTTTTGCCAAAAGTGTCATAGGTAGGAGGAGAATGTTTTCTGTGTAAAAGCAGGGGAAAGTGAACCGGGCAGGATCGTTTACTGGAGTAAAAACCACTTTAAATTCAAACACGCTCACATGCYGAACATTTACACATCGTGCACAAACCATGCAGAACGAATGCACATTAATTTTACTGCTGGTTGTCAAAGCGAACCACAGGTATTTAAAAAGGACCCAAACTCCAGTCAGTTTGCTGGTAAACTGGGGTGAAGCCATCTGGAAGTGTAATAGCTGCTCACAATGCACACTTCAGCACTGTGCAGTGTCGAAGCTGACCGCAAGTATGTGTTTACTGAGACATTGTTTCTACACTAAGTACACAAATGCACAAACGAACATGCATTTGAGGTATGAATGATATGGTCTTTGAAGTAATTAAAGCGACCACAAACGTGCAAAAATCTCCCCGCCGAAAGGAAATACGAAGAATTTGTGATTTTATGGTGAATTAGCTGATGGAAACGGTACTTAACCCTTGTTGGAAATGTGAAAACGATGGACTGTTATTTACGTTTTTGCTCTCTTATTGTGCAAACGTGTCCCATTGTTTACAAGATGATTGATTTATAAAAAATTTGTTTGTTACGCAACATTGCACTTTCTCTTTTAGGTACCCCAGAGTTTATGGCTCCAGAGATGTATGAAGAGAAGTACGACGAGTTGGTAGATGTTTACGCTTTTGGGATGTGTATGCTGGAGATGGCCACCTCGGAGTATCCCTACTCAGAATGCCAAAACGCTGCTCAGATCTACAGACGAGTTACCAGCGTAAGTCGTTTTCCTCAAAAAGCCTCCAGTCAGAGTTTTTCTTACATTCACGTGTCGTAGCTCCGAAGCCTTGTTTGTGGTTTTGCCTCTAATCTCCATCCTCCGTCTGTCATTCTCCCCGTCACTTGTTTACTGACTGTATTAATAAGTTTGGCATGAGCTGCTGCAGTTCTAGTCATATGATGCTGTTTTTCCCCTCTCACTCTCTCTCTTTCTCTCTGTTTTGTTCTTGCAATGGATTTAAAAAAAAAGGAAAAAAAAAACTGCACCAATTCTGGGAATACATCTGTTTTTCCCACCTGTAGATTTCTCTTTTCGTATCAGATCAAAACAATGTGTTCTCAAAGGAAGCGATCCTTTCAGTAAACTCTGGCATTTTGTTCTCATTTTTTTTAACATAGGCAATTTTTTTATGTCAGAACCCTTTGAGGGGAAAAAAGAGACAGACATGAAAAGAGGAGCAGCTGCAATCAGACTGCGATCAGCTCCTTGAGCCTCTGAGTGCTGCAGATGAAAACACACTCAGGCAGATGAGAGCTGTGTCCTTTTCTACTCCTACAGAATGACTTTAGCTCGGCGGAGGCTAACGAGGATAGTTATTGGACTAGAGGAGGTTACTACAAAGCTCTTTTAGTTGTTGACGATATAATACTTCATATCACAGCAAGATTTTCTGCCTAAATCACCAGTTTTAGGCTTTAACTTAAGCACTGTTAGTTTTAATTATATATTTACATCCCTAATTTCCACATTAAAAAAATGTTTGAACACATTTCTTTACTTTGATGTATCCATAATCCTTTTAAAGTATTTAGTTCATTTCTTAAGGTGCCCATCCATGCTATCTATTTGGCACWATCAAAAAGAAAAGATCTGGATTAAGATTAGCCCCGTCCCTTTAAGCATCCCTTTGACTGAAAGGAAACTGTCCTCCTTTTTCTATTACTTTTGTCATTTTCTGTCTCTGAATGTTGCAATTTAATTTAAGGTTCCGACCGGAAATTTTAAATCACATTTCTGGCTCTGGGCCGTCTCTCTCTTTTTTTTCCTTTTCTTTCCCATTCTCTGTTTGTTCTCTCTCATCCAGAGGTCGATTAGACCACATTAGATTATCATTTGTGACCTCAGGTTCTGCATGTGTTGTAATATATTTTCAGCGGGCTGATCTTAAAAGCTTGAGGCTCCCGATGTTTTTGTGAGACAAACAGCCACCTTCAGTTTTCTGTTGTCACTTTGAGACAGAATCTTGTGATGACCTCAGGGTGCTTCAGTCACCTGCTTCCTTTCTTTTCACTGCTGACTTCCAGTGACCAGATTCTCACCCTCCATCTCTCTGTCTGACTATCATGRCTCAGTTAACGCCTTATACATTTTATTTGCAACCTTTTATAAGAATTATGGCAAATGTACATTGTACAGTCATCAGTTACACATCACGTACTAAACATACCTTTTAATTAAAAACTGTTTAAGGGAGTTTTGTTATATTTTCCTCTCGTCTAGTTTGTCATTTCTGGAAATTGTTCCGRCACCTTGCAACACCTCGATCCTTCTTTTTTGCAGCCATTTTGTTGTAGGGGTGTAAGAAAATATCAATACACTGAAATTTCGCGATATTTCATTTCCCGATACYGTTATCGATATTCTAAAGCCCTGTATCGATTTTTAATTAAGGTTTAAAATGTCAACCTTCTTGCCAACCGTTCATTTTTATGTTGTAGTTCAGCCTCTGACCACTAGTTGGCAGCAGTTAGCCAGCCATTTGGTTCCTCTACCTCTTGAGCGCCAGAGAGTAAGAGTAGCATTAGCATTGTAAGTAAACATTAGCTTTTCTTTTTTTCAGTAAGAGGTTTTTATTTAATAGAATTTTTGGACAAAAAAATCGCAAGCTATCACAATATATTGCCTTGCTTACAGTATCGCAAAATATCGGGATATATCGTATTGTGACCCCTCTGTTATGATATGTATCGTATCGCCAAATTCTTGCCAATACACAGCCCTATTTTGTTGTACATTTCCTGCTGCGTTTGGGAATATCGTCCTGTTTCATCATGACCCAGTTCTAACCAAACTTTAGTTGTTGGACAGATAGCCTCATTTGACTAGAATATTGGTTTACAGAGGCRTTCAGGGACGACTCGATGACTGCAAAGCGAGAAGACGAAGATGACGCTCCCTCCTTGGCACACTTTTTAAACATTTTTATCATTTGTTACGCCAGAAATATTTGAATCTGATCCGATTGTTTGGTATTGTTGGTGTACATGTATTTTTACAGAGCTTCCTGAAGTCGTACTTTAAAACAAACGAAAAAAAAAAGAACTTGTGGTTAAAAAGTTTTTTGTCATTTCTCTGACCTCGTCAAAGAAAAACACCCCACAGCATCAAGCTGCCACCAGCATGTTTCTCTGTAGGGATGATATTAATGAGCGGATGCTCAGTGCCTGGTCGTCTCCTCACGCTGCAGGGAAGCTTTGTCCGACAGTTGTACAGGTGCCTTTTGGCAGTTATCCAACAGGAAAAAACAATGGTCCTTTTGTGAAGGAGACGACTTCTGTATTAATAATAATGTTTCCTAAAGAGTCAAACATTGCACTGATGGTTCTGTAAGATTTCTATGAAGGAAAGCATGATTGGTTCCCTGTTGGAGATCTTTCTTTCCTTATTAGTTAATTTATTTTATTACAATGTAGCCTTCAGTTGTTGAGTAGAGCTCCTTGAGTCCAAACATTGGGCTGTTTACTCCGTATAGCTTGTTTTCTTCTTATAACTCAAATCTCAGTCTTYCTCCCTCTTGAACATTCCTAATGTCCAATTAGGCTTATTTAGCTAACATGTAGCTGCCCCTCAGCTTTAATGCCATTACCCCCCGCCCCCATCAGCCCCAACTCTGTTTGACCTCAGAGTCTCACTGGTGTGTGTGCATGCCACAGAGAGATGGGGAGTTACAGTATATAATGACAAACTGGTGGGGCAGCGAGAGAAAAACATGGCAAGGAAAGAAAATTGTTTCCTTTGAGCTTGTAGATTGAGATTTACCAAAAGTATTTCTTGAACTGCTTACAGGTAAGTTCAATAATTAAACMGTCTATTTTAATGTGATCAGTAACTGTTATTTTCCTCCTGCGTTGTTAAATGTTTGCATTTGCTCTCGAGTTTGAGTTTTAAGGAAGCAACTATTAAAGATTAAATTTGATCATAAAATTTTTGTAGAGGTTTGTAATTCTGTGTCAGGTTAGATTTAATCAGCTTTAATATTTGACAAAGAAAAAACATTTAATTATAGYGACAAATGTCAAAATATTTATAAAAATGTACTTTTAACATTTGTATTTACATTTTATCTTCAGCTCTATTCTGCAGGTTAAAACATATTGGATGCCAGCTCCTGAAGGTGCAAAATGTTTATAAAAAGGATAAATGTAAACAAAAAAAAAAAAGCTTTAGGAACACACAACAGCCACTTTGTGTTTTTCTGGGTCTTAGTTACTTAAAAGTACAAAAAGTTTAAACAGTGCAGTGCCCCATCGTGCCTTGTGTTTTATCAGTTAATAATATTAATATTCTTTGTGTGTGGGTTCAGATTTTTCAACATGAGGGAATTCAGTGTTTATTATTTTTCAGCCAAGAACATTTGGTGCCAAASGTTTGAAAAAGCTTCCTGCTGATAGTTCTTGTTTAATTGCTTCTAAAAGGCTGTGATTCAGTATTTATGCCTTCAGCTGTGTTTATGTGGAATTTAACCTCGGGTCAAACTATTTCTGCACCCTCTATGACACCCTAACTTTCTCTCCCGAGTGTGAAATTTTTGTCATAACCTTTTATTTTAATTTCCTTTGGTTATTCTGAATTTAAAGGAACYTTGTGGTACATACAGGATGTGTTTTAATGTACTTTATATGTATATTTCTGTATGAAATAACTGCAGTTGTTGCAGTAAATCTTTGCAGAACAAATCAGTGCTTATGTTGGTTTACTTTTTTAACCTGTGCGTTGCTGTAAACGTCCCTGGGTTCACTGCTTTTGTCCTTTTTCTCCTGCAGGGAGTCAAACCTGCCAGTTTCGACAAGGTAGCAATTCCTGAGGTGAAGGAAATTATAGAGGGCTGCATCAGAACGGACAAAGATGAGAGGTGAGTCATAGTTGGGTGAAGATGTTTTTTTTTTCAGTGCAGTGCAGTGTTCACATTTGCTAATGTTCTCTTTAAAAGGGACCATGAAAGCGTCACATCATTTGATGTTAGATTTTACTTGGTGTTCAATCTCTGCTTCATAACTTCACGTTAACTTAATGGATCAGGAAGGCTGTTGTTGGATAATGTGGTAAACATGTTTGCTTTTTTTTTCTTGCAGAGTAATGAAGTACCCTGTGTGTTCTGTTAGTTAGAAATCTGACCACAAAGTTTTAAAAAATTAGAACCAAAATCTTACTCATCTCCAGCCTTATTTAATTTCCTAAATCTCTCTTTGCAGTTAAACTCTACTGAAAATAGCTGACAGATTTAGATTTATCTTCTCGCCTATACTCTGTCCAGATATGCCATAAAAACTCTGCTGAATCATGCGTTCTTTCAAGAAGAGACGGGGGTCAGAGTTGAACTTGCAGAGGAGGATGATGGGGAAATGATTGCTATTAAACTGTGGCTAAGGATAGAAGACGTCAAGAAGCTCAAAGGCAAGAGCACAATACCTCATTAATTATCATTTGAGCCCTTCATTTCTCTGCGCAGCAGCTTTTCTTTGTGTCTTGAAAAGGTTTGGTGGATTCGATAGAAAACTGCTAACCCTTACCTGCACTGTTTCCGTTTTTCAGGTAAATATAAAGACAATGAAGCAATCGAGTTCTCTTTCGATCTGAACAAAGACGTGCCTGAAGATGTGGCGCAGGAAATGGTAAGTTCAGCGCACAGGAGAAATACATCGATGRATGTTGTTTGGACAGGTTAAAGAAACTTCTTCACAAATCCCCCCAGGTTGAGTCTGGCTACGTCGCCGAAGCCGACCACAAGACCATGGCCAAGGCTATCAAGGACCGCGTGTCTCTGATCCTGAAGAAGAGAGAGCAGAGGCAGCTGGTGCGAGAGGAGCAGGAGAAGAGGAAACTGGAGGCAGAGCAGAAGCAGAAACAAGAGACGTTCAAGACTTCTCACTCCCAGGTTTGATTTTWRTGYGACGGCTGGGAAAAACATTGGTTTTTAGACTTTCAGTCTAAAATCCCATCCTCTGTTTGTGTTCCCACAGTCCAGAACAGAAGAGGCTGAGTCGGACCAACATCTGCTTCACCATCAGCAGGCCAGCCTCTCTCACACCTGTAAGACTCAAAACCATCCTCTTTCMATAGTTTCTGCTTGGTTAATACAAGCTCGCTCCATTCCTCTTTCAGCTGAAGGAGGCGTCGACAGCGGACAGGGTTCCTCGGTTTTCTCCGACCCCCCTCACCTGGGCCAGCTGACCATGTCGTACAGCTGCCCCCCCTCCTCCCAGCCCCCATCCCAACCCCAGACCCCATACCCCCCAACGCCTGCGAGTGCAATGCAGCAACATCCAGGCTTCTCCCAGCCGCCGCAGCCGATGGTAGGTGACTACTTTTATTTAAATTAGCTCTGGCAGCGGCGCCCCCCGCTGCGAGACGTGGCTCCGTTCAGACGTGATAGAAATGAGTCTTGAAGTGAGCTCTGCTTTGTCTGCTGSAGTGAGTCGGCGAGAACTGCTTGTTAACAAATCGGAATGCAGATGTTTTTCTTTTTTTTTCTTTTTTTGCACAATTAACCTTCAGAGTCAACAAAACAAAAACAAACTGAACAATTTAAACATCATTTAACCTGATTCATCAGGCATAAGAAAAGCATTTAAACCTTCAGTCGGTTAATAAAATCACGTTGGTTGATCTTTTCTTCATCTTCCAAGGTTTTAGTTTTTTTCCCCCCACAATTCTGAAATCTCATCATCTTTCTYCTTTTTTCTCTCCACTCTTGAACTCTTTATGATCCACGTGCTTAAAACCTTTATATTTGACAGTTCTTCCTAATTCACATTTTTCTCAGTTATCGTTTCATTTTTAACGCTTAATATGTTGTAAAGTGTTGTGTTTTCATGATAGTTGGGTAAATTGGTTTCGGCAAGTGTTTTAGGTTCTTAAAAAATCGTATGTATGTAACAAAGTTTGCAGATGAACAGCAACAGAAAATCTATCAATATATTTAACATRGTGTGTTATAATACATTACATGCACATAATGTGTTTCTTTGTTTCTGGGTGTTTTTGGTTCTGGTTTGACTTTAGGGAAACTACAACTCATACTGACTTGTTTGTTAAACAGTTTGTGGCCTGATTGAATAAGTTAATTATAGATTTGGTTCTTTTTGAAGGACACTGACTCATTTTACCATCAAAAGTTTTTTTTTCGAACATTAGAGTTTATTTCATTAAATGAATTTCTTATAATTCTGTTGGGATGCTCAGTCTTATGTAACACCTTRTTTTCTATTAAGTTGAAATGCAATTTTTTTCTTCCCTTTTTTAGGTTTGTTTGCTTTTATTACATTGTCGTGTTTTGTGTGTTTTTTTGTTTGTAATTGTGTACATTTTATAAAAAAAAAGAACATGTCGAAGTTTACTGGTGCCATAATTTGCCTTTAAATTTAACCGATTTAAAGGCAAATGTTTGCATTAAATAACTTTGTGACGAATGTGATGCAAAGTTTGTTTTCACTGAAAACTGTTGAATTGATTTTTTAGTTTCTTCCTTGTACATCTTATTACCTTTGTGTTCCTTAAGTAACTTTTTTTGTTTGTTTTTATGTTGGTCTCACCTACTCCTCGCCCMTCGGCCTGCAGCCTGTACCACACGGCCGTCGAAGTCGTAGCATGTCTATTTGCGTCCCCCCTTCCTCGTACTCCTTTTCCCACACTCATTCATCCCTGGCGGTTCCTCCGAAACGGCCCACCTCGCCTCCTCCAGACCTGTCCTCCTCCCACACCTCCACCTCCTCCCCCTGCGCACCTCTCCCAGCTGAGAGGGACACTTTCGCTGGCCGCCTCTCCAAGGCCCTGGAGACGGTCCTCCCCCTTCACTCTGCCTCCTCTCAGCCCAGGGCCAGACAGCGGAGGGCCAGCCTGCCTGCCCTGTTCTCCACCCCTGTAGGTTCACTAACGTAATCCCCCAGTGGTGGTGAAAAGCAAAGAGAGAAGAGAGAGACAAAGATGTGGAACGAAAATGAAAAATTAACCAGTGAATCATTTTTTAAAGATGCTGTTTTTATTAACCAAGTTSCAGCAGTAAAGCTTGAGTGTAGGTACATGTAAATATAATTAACCAACTTTTACCTCGTGTTTTTTTACTTAACAGATAATGAGGCTGAAATATTTTTTTAGTTTGTTTTCACCAGATTGAAATCAGTGTAAAATTAGATGAGCTGAAAGAATTTTAATGCATTTTAAATCACATTTTTACTCTGATAAGTCAGTTAACATTAGTATTTATTCCAGTGTTTCACATTATTGGTCCCATATACACCCTGTCTGGCATGTTTTGAAGCAACAATAGCATCTGTTGGGCTTTTTGCTCTCTGGTTCCTCTTGCAGGATTCATTTCAAGCAACAAGTTAGGTTAACATCGTATGACCTCACAGGAATAAGGGAGTGTTGTTATATTTTGTGATACTGATGATAAAAAAACACTCATAAAACAACTAAAAAGCGTTATGAAAGTATTTTAAAAAATTGGGTTTATGTATTTGGAGCATTTTAATGATTTATAAATAAAAAACAATACACAATTTGCGTATTTCTGTTTCACGAATTACAAGCTTAAAGAAACCATTTGAAAAAAAAGCTAACTTCTAAGATTTTAATGTAAGGCTTTTAGAAATATACCAGTTTTACATGAGCATAACTTATCTATTTTGGTTTCTAATTTAGTTGTGATAAAGCTATACTGAGTATGTAATCAAAATTACCAACATAACTACAACTTTTAACAACAGAAAAACAGCCAATTGGCTTTTAATTACCAGTCTAATGACGATGATGCAGCTTACATTCTTTTTTGCATCCAATGAATAAAACCTAATCCTTTATTTTATTTTATTTTATTTACATCTGAGGGTTGTACTGATTCTTTTCACCAATATTTTTATGATAAATTGCCAACTGGGCTTTCCCAATGTGTGGTTCAGGGTTAAATGTATGCATCCCATCAAAATGACCAAAAAGCACAAAGTTGCTTTTAGTGCTGCTTCAAATGTTTCCCTGTATTAACACACTTAATTCTAATGAAATAAGGCGTGTTGCAGTTGAGACACATCCAAACGTGAATAGGGCGTCCCCGGGACCAAGAGTGGAAAACTGGTTTACTTTATCTCTGCTTCAATTATTCAGATACTTCCATCTATCTTTAACTCTCTCGTCCTCTCCTAGGCCATCACATGTTCACTTAAGATACAGACTGAGTGTCATGAGCCATAGCCATGCTTTATGGTACGAAAGTTCAATATCAGGTGCATCTACTGCTTTTTCCAAAAGATGTTTGTTCCAAACGAACAAACATCAAACTAAACCAGAAYTTTCTATTTGATTAATGATTCCAGGCTAAAAAACATCAAATCAAAGCAACATTTTGAAAGTTAAACCTACAAAAATCAGTTATCCTAATTAAAGATGCATCTGAATATTGCCAAGCTTAAAGACAGCATTTGGTGTCTCCTCTTTGGCAGTTTTTTCCCTACTGTGAGCTTCTGGATCTCTTTATTATTTTTTTTCTGCCTGGCCTTTGTTCAGTCTGTTTGTGCTGCAGCTGTAAAAGTGTGTCACTTGATTCATTTATTGTAACCAGCTTTTTTTCACTTTCTTACCTTTTTTTTTAAAAAAAAAACTGTTCTATAAATTTTCAGTACATAATGTTTTTACATTATGCTTTTATTTTGAAGGGTGAATATGTATCTTTTGTTCCCGTTGGTTTTGTTTTACGTTTCTCCTTTTCGAATCGTTTTCTGCGTTTTGTGTGAGCGTTTTGCTGTGGTTCTCTGTCCTTCTCTTGAGCTTTATTCTTAAATTCATTGTATTTCATTGTCGCAGCAGCATTCTTTACCACATGGAGGCGCTGGAGGGAGCATTCCTCACCCAACTCTCCCAGACCCTCCAACTATTTTCTTCCCATCCATCCCTGAGCGCCCCGTTTCCTTCTCGCCACCTCCCACCGGGCCTCCAAAGGGCTACAACACCCAGAGACGCAAGAGCACCTCCATTCTCGAAGCGCACACCCGACACTTCCAACCCGCCTATCCTCGCTACGGGAGCAGTCTCCAGCCCTTTTTCGGTATGGACAGCATCGAGACTCCCCCTGTGTTCGTGGTCAACCCTGGTTTGGCAGCAGCAGCTCAGAGACTTTGTGCTGGTGAGCAAATGCATCTACCAGGACAGTCCGATTCAAGTCTGTATGGTTATAAAGACATGAGAGCTGAACATGAGGAGGCAGTGAGGCGCTTCAGTCTGAACCAAGCTGCTTTAATGTACCATAATGAACCTATGGTTTACGGAGGGTATCCATTGACTGCACACCAGCTTAGCCAGTTGAGTTTCCATCATCAGAGGCAAGCAGCAGCCAGTTTGGGCTTTGATCCTGGTCCACCACCTCAACCAGGATTCTTGCACCCACACATTTTGCAACAAATGAGTGCGCACAGTCAGCTGCCTCCACCCTTAACACCCATGACTCCATCAACAGGAGGCTCAGTCTCCTCTTCATCCTCTGAGGGGTGCTATCCTCCACAGCATGCGGCTCCATCGTCCTTCCCCATTTCTGCACCTCCAGTAATCGCTGATGCTCCATCTGCTGGAAGCGTCTTTGAGTACCATTTAGCTGCAGCTGCCGCCGCTGCAGCCGCCGCCGGGGACCCCAACCTCCTGGCATCCAGACTTTACCGAGCCCGACGGAGCTCCATGGACCTCCCTCTGGAGGACAGCTCTGGAACAGGATCTGGTGGATCTGGATCGTACAGCCGCCTCCAGCCGGTGACAGAAGAGCTGTATGCGTACATCAGTCCCGAGCTGCCGCTACCGCCTGGAAATCTTCTCCTTCATCACACCGGATTAACTTTAAAGGACAAAAGCCCCGAACCGTCAAGCGACTCCCTTGCTTCTTCTGATGCAGGAGAGTTCCAGTCCCCCCCTCCCCCACCCGGTCCTCCCCACTTTGACCCTTCAGCAGCTCAGTCTATCCCTCGCCCCTCCTCCTCTGCACCGTATGACTCATCAGGGGGAGTGCGTCGCGAGGATCCACAGGGACACCCACCTTCGGTGCAGAACTTCTTTCCCCCCACGCCGTCGTCAGAGCTCCCTCATGGGGGGCCAACGTTGCTGGAGTCTCTGGTGCCGAGCGCCTGGCCCCGGCATGGAGGGGTGATACCAGCCCAACCTGACATGACATACCATGAGTCATTGCTGGCCATGCAGGCTGCTAACCCCCCTCCGGTACAAAGTTTAGACCTTAAAAACACTCCAAGGCCTCTGGGTTAATTACTAAATGAAATTTAATTAATTTTGATTAATGTTATTTTAATAATTTCTGTCTGTAAAGTAAAGATCTTTAGATTTTTAATGTTGTGAAGACATTTACCCCCTAAAATTCAGTCATTCTCAAAGAACCGTGAAATTGAAACGGTTAATTACAACAGATCAGATGGATCACTTCAAAAAGCAGTTTAATCAAATTATATTTAGTAATCTGACCCAGAGGCAGTCACACAGACCCCTGTTGTTTTTCTACCCTGCTGACCCAGGCCCCCACCCCCCAGCCGATGCTTATTTGTCATCCTGTAGTCTCGTTGTGATTTTAACCCCCCCTACAGTCATCTCAGCACCACAGAGACAGTCTCATGGTCTACCATAACCACGCCTCACGCGATTCTCTCTCCATGTTCCCTAAACCAAAAATCATGTCTAAAATAATAACAGAGCATGACTTCAGTTAAAGATAATCCAAGATCTAATAGAGGAGGGAACGTTCCTGAACAAATTTGGGAAAGACAAGAACATTTAATTTCACTCCAATATACCAGTGATTATTCTTGATTAAGTATAATTGCTTCAAAAACAACAACTGAGGAGGAAGACTTTGAGACGCTCTCTGGTGTATAAACCTTAGAAGCGAACAGCCTAAGCCCCCTCCATTCAGTCTTTATGTATTTGATTTATTTTGTTGGTATTCAGTAAGTAGTTTTTTTTGTCTGTATGTTCATATATGAATGTATATGAAAAATGTGTGTTTGAATGGGTATACTAATCCTATCGTATACCTAAACCTTACTCGTACAAATCCAGAGTCAAGGCGTTAAAACTCGAAGTTTTAATTTTTCAGAAGAGATGTACTTTTACGTCTTTGTACAACGATTTTATTTTAATAGAACCACTCAAGTGGGAAAGAGCTGAATGACTTTGTTGATTTGTATGGACAAACACACAAAAACATACAACAAAACAGAGAGGGCTTAGACAAATAAAGCAGTGTAACTATGTAGAGAGCCATTACTGTATAGGTTATTTGTGTTTTGTGTTGTAAATCCTAAAGACCCTGGCTATTAAAACTGTTGTTTTCCTTTTAAGCATATTATGTTGCTCTTTCCTGTCCTGACTGAAAACCAGCTGCCTATTCAAAGATTAGTTGAATGATTTATTTCTACTTTCTTGCTTCCTTTACTCTGTCATTTATTATAACTTGGCTATCTATTATTTCTCTCTTTAAAAGTCATTAACTCAACAGTTTTGTCATTTACCTTTTAATTTTGATAACGTTTTCTAAAAACAAATGATTTTTTTGTTGTTGTTGTTTTATGACCTTCTTTCCCTGTTGGCATTGTTGCCTGTACTGCTGCCTGGTGCAGCTCTTTACACTTAAAGGTAAATTAAACCATATCGCCCCTTCATCAGTCACTAGATTAAGAGTCACCATCTTAAGTTGACTAAAAAAAAGATGTGGAAATATATTTCAGACCAGTCATTTCTAAGAAGGTCTTAAGCTGGTGCAGCGCAGCTCAGGCAGCAGGGAGGGTTTTAAAAGCTTCTGAGTTTCATGATTTTTTTTAACTACTCCAGCGTCTACGTTGAGCTTTGTTGGTTCCAGTGCGTAACATCCACGGATTATCACGTAGGATCTTACCTGCATGTAAAACTCCTACTTACACCCTGCCTAATCCCAGTTCTGTGCCTGTACTGTTGCTGTAAATGCATACAGTAGATGTTGTTATGCATATATCTGTTGCTGGATGGATTAGTGTCATCATGCATGTGTGCATATACAAGAGGGAAACCGATAAGCTCATCATCAGAGTGCAGCTGAAGCACCTTGTGTTTGCACTCATGTGTGTTTTTGCATTAGAAGCTGCAAACATGTACTGACTTGTTCTTTTCTCTTATTTTTTTTATCCCAATCTCTCGATTCCTCACCTCCATCTTTCTTTTCTTTCTGCTCGACATTGGTTCTTTTCCTCTCCGTCTGTTCTTGTGTCTCTCTGTAAATCTGCTTCCAAGCAGCAGGTTCAGGCACCTGCTTCTCAGCCAAGTCCAGGACCCCCTCTGGTCCCTGCAACCACCCAATCAGAGCCTTCTGGGACGTCGCAACAGGTAGGCAAACAACCATGAAGTAAAAATATTAAAAAAACACCACGTTTTTGTTCATTCAGTTTACCACAGAAATTTGTAGCACAAACCTTTGGGTTTTAAACCTAATTTATGTTGCTAAAATGTAAGAAAACAATCTATTATTTCTTGTCTAAATAAGCTAGTGATTTTTTGTTGTTGTTGTTGAACTTGATAATGTACCATTATTAAATTCAATACAAAAGTGTTGTCTTATCCTGCATTTTTTAACTAATTTATGCTTCCTTTTCTTTTTCTGTCTCTCATCTAACATTTTGTGTTTTTGTTCTTTCAGCTCGTGTCTTCGAGTCAGAGTTGTACTTCTCTTCAGAGCCCAACACACACAGCTCAGGTATTTTATTTTTATATTCTTAATAGCCTCCTGTGTGCTTAAATAAGCACAAGTCTTTGCAGAAAGTTGCTGGAATGAAATTAGACTTTGGCATAAACTCCTAAAGCACATTTTTAAAAATGTTTTTAGAGAGTTTAACATTGTAATTCAAATGTTATAATGTAATTTGGTTTAAACGAGATATAATAAACTTTTAAAGACACAGGCTGTGACAAATACTATTTGCACATAAGCAAATATGTATTATTTTATGTCGTTTGGCTTTTGTTATAGCATGTTCTGCTCAGATTCACTTTAAACTTTTATTCAGTTTTTTACTTTTATTTATTTTTTCTTCTTTCCATTCTTTGGCCTGCTTGTGGGCATGCTGCCTGCGGTTTACAACCGGGTTTGTTTTTGTGTTTCTCGCATTTCTGTGTATATATGTGTGCGTGTGTGTAGTTGTGTGATCTCAGTCCGTCTCCCAGTATCGAACATCTTTATCTTTTGTACCAAACTGCTCAGCAAGTTCTGGTACAGGTAGATATATACAGGATGTGGTTGTAGTTTACCTTGGTCACTTTGTGTGTGTATTAATGTGTGTACTTGTAGTTGTGGGTTAGTGTGATTTATTGGTTAATCTGTATGATGCTGAACAAAATGAAAGCAGATTAACCACCATGAAATTGTGGCTTTTGAATAACCATCACTTGGCTTTTTTGTTGTTGTTGTTGTTGTTGCCACTTATCCTCCTTGCTACCAAGAACATCTTAACTAAGCACCTGATTGAAAATAATTCATAAATATAGGAGTAAAATTGATGGAAATAAAGATGGGTAATATTTTCTGGACTAAGACCAATGAACATCAAAAGACAAATAAATAAAGCATCAAACAAATGGGAAATGGGAGTGATATCACCAGTACAAAGCTAAACAAGCACTCTTGTTTACTATTGTGTTGAATTAAAGACAGATCACAAATGCTTTAATAAAATTTTTATCACAGTAACAAATAATGGTTAATCAACATATGAATACAGGTTTTAAACACTTATTTATTGGTTACATCGAAACACCCTGCTACTTTTTATTATATTGTAGACAAGCAGTAATTATTTGTGACAGATATTTGAAGCATTTAAATATAATATTATTTCCCAAAAATTTTACCTGAGTGGAAAAATATGGTAGTTTGGCGGAATTAGCTTGATGGTATAAAATGGCATATTTACATAAACTTCCCTAAAATGTCCAGAGCATGCGAAATTTAAAGCAAATTGCACAAAAAAGTCATTATTTTACATTTTCTATTTTTCTAAGTCGTATTTTCAACTGTATAAGAACAGTAGCTGTATACTTGTTGGTGACTCAGTGTCATTTAAATCCTATTTTTGTACACATTGGTTGGTTGGTTGGTTGGTTGATTGATTGATTGATTCATTAGACTCATGGTCCACATTGACATGAGACAAAACAAACACAATATACATAAAAAAATTCCCATATATATATTATTCCCAAATCTTGACTTATTCAAAAATGAGTCATAAATCAGTCTCAGGTGATGGAGAGGTTAATTTAGCCCCATAGCCATTCTGAATTGTTGCCCACCTACACTGAAAAACTTTTTATTTTTGTTGTTGTTGCATGGCAGAGTGGTGTGTTGTTTTTTCACCAAGAGTTTTTGGTTTTAAAAGACTTTCTTCTAATTTTACACTATATATTAGGGAAAGCTATCATGTAGAAACCAATTTGAGCTCAGACTCTGCTGAGGCTTTTGAGTGTAGATTTTCTGAATTGGTCACTTGGTTTATCTACTTCCTCGTCTTCTCTACGATCTTATTTCCACGTTTTCCATAATTTCTCCTGCCTCTCGTCCTCTCCTTCATGTACCCTTTTTATTTTCTTCTGTTCCTATTTCTCGGCCCTCCCCTCTCAGCCCAGCGTAGCTCCGCCTTCCTCTGCCGCTCCCTTGGCGACCCTCCCTTCTCCGCCGTCTATCCCCACGGCCGTACCGACAGCAGTCGTGGCCTCCCCTCCCTCTCCTCTGATAGTTCCTATTGAGGCGGTGCCTACGCTGGTTTCCCATCCTCTTCCTCCTCCCACACCACATCAGCCTTTGCCCACCGTGGTGCCAACCATCAGCGTAATCACCGTCCCACCTGATCCTCCCTTGGAAGCTCTTCCCAAGGTACTGGTCATGTTCGAACCCACCGAGGAGATGTCATGTTCCTGTTCAGGTTCTGCTAAAATCTGTGCAAAGTCTCATTGTTGGTCAGTGGTTTCTAAAGCTAAATTCTCTATTCTTTTCTCAAAAGGTATTAAAAGTCACCTTGCTTCTTGGTTTAAGAATAAACAAACATTTGTTGTAAGAAGAACAGTTGTTGGTGGAGCGCAATAAGGTTTTGGCAAAATGTTGTTTATGTTGTGATTGGTCTAGGAGCAGAGTTTAACTGAAGTATGCTCATGATGAAAAAAGTTTTTTTCCCTTATTGTTTAGGACATGGCATTCAGAATAATTGAAAATATGAATCCAAGTTTCTGCTACGTCTCTTTTTTGTGTGTGTTTTCTCTAAATAAAATAGGTTTTATCATTTTAAAATACTTTTCTTTTGCTTTTTTATACTTCCCTGCTTCTGTTTCATTAATTTTTTTCTCAAATAGCGAACAAGTAAACCTAAGTAGYGGTTATGGACTTTTTTCATGTTTGTGTGTTTCAGTCCACCTCACAGTCTTCAGAGCTGTCCCAGGGCCAGCTACAGCCCCCGCAAGTTCTCTCATCTGTTGAGAAGTAATGAATGAAAACACAAACAGACACTAATCTGATTCATAATCAAATGAAATACAGTTAGAAAAAAAAGCTGGGATGTGTAAAATGAATATAAAAACAAATTGCAATGATCATATTTATGCAAATCAGTAAAAAAAAACAATCAAATGTTTAGTTTAGACATTTGATGTTTTCTGTGTTCCACAGTAAATGAGTTTGAGATTTTTTATTACATTTTATACAACATCCCAGCTTTTGTTTGAGTTGGAGTTAAAGTTTCCTGCTCTCCGTCTAACTTTCTGCCCGTCCCGTGTGCTTCAGTGGACACGCCGAGACGTCAGGCCTGAGTGACGGGAACGAGGGGGGAGGCGGCCGTCATGAGGGGCGTTCCACCAAACGACACCAGAGGCGTTCCGTACGAAGCCGATCTCGCCACGAGAAGACTTCCAAGGCGAAACTCCACGTTCTCAGTGTAAGCACTCATCGCAAAACTTTACTTACGTCAAAGTCTATGGTATGCAGTGTACCTGCTGTCTATATTAATTGGCTGCGTGTGTGTAACTAATGCAGATCTCCAACCGAGGGGACAGGGTAGCAGAGTGTCAGCTGGAGACTCACAACAGGAAGATGGTGACATTTAGATTTGATCTAGATGGAGACAACCCTGAGGAGATCGCCCAGATCATGGTACACACCAAGTCCTGTTTCTCTCTTAAAGACAAACACTGCAAGAGAACAAAGCATTGGTTTATAAATGTTATGACTGTCAGCATGATCAGGTTAGGGTTGTACTGCAGAAACACTTGTCGTCAGGAGAAAAACACAAAATGTTCTGTTTTGATTCTGTCGTACCAACCAAGAAGCACAGAATCAGATCCTGCCCGATACCTCCGCATTAAAGCTGGATAATAGTTAACGTGCTAGTGCGTGAAAGTTGAAATGACTGAAGCAGAAGCAGCTTTGCTTCATCAGGCCTCGCAAAGACTTCAAATGTTTTTTTTTTCTTTTCTTTTTAATGTGTTTGTCTAGGTTCAGAGTGAGTTTATCCTGGAGAATGAGCGAGAGTCATTTATCGAGCAGGTCAGGGAGGTGATTGAGAATGCAGATGAGAAGGGTCTGGAAAGAGACGCAAATAATCAGGTAAAGAAAAACGAAAGTTGTTTTCTGTTTTGTTTCGTTTTAGAAGATGCATCCTAGTTTGGTAATGAGTCAATGTATTACTAACTTTTTATCATGTACTTGTAGTTTTGAAATAAATACTCTTCAAATAATAGCAAATTTACCAAAAATAATTATTATAAAAGCCGTTTTTTTGTTTCTAAAATGTTACCTTGTTGATCTACATACAGCTGGTGGGTGACCATGAGAAGAAGATTCCTGTGACATCTACCCCTATGACTGGTATAAAACAAAATTAAAAGCTTTAAATGAACAAATATTGTGTGATAGTTTGTATTTAAGCATTCTTATTCTTTCTTATGTAAACAAATGAGTTTTATTATTTTTCTCAGACATCCCTCCAAGTGCAACGGCACAAGTCGTCCATTCAGCCGGCCGTAAATTCATTGTTAGTCCCGTACCTGAAGGCAGGCTGAAGGAGCAAACAAACCCCCCCTCGCCTTCTACCCCTGCACCCATTGTTGAAACGGGTAATCCTTTCAGTTCAGCCTCTTATTTTTGTTTGCTTCTCATCAAAGATCTGAATCACGTTCCGAACTAAAAATCTGTCCTGGTTTTTTTCCAGTCCCTCTGCCTCAGACAGCAGGGCAAGCTTTGGGTTTGTCCCAGTCTGCAGGAAGGATCACCTTACAGCAAGCCTTCTCTGAACTGCGACAGAACAGCAGCCAGTTTGATCCAGGTCCCAGTACAGCTCCAGCCTCCATCCACTCCTCGCAGCCCCCCCTGCATCCTGCAGCGGCCCCCTCACTCAGCAGCWCAGTTCCTCCCGCCGTGGAGGCACCTGGTTTGAAACAGGCAACGGAGCAAGTCCTGGAACTTTCTCCTCCACCCTTTTCCTCATCTTCTACTCCTCCCTCTGTGGCCCCCATCTCTCTCAGCCCACCGTTTACTTCCTCTCATCCCCCTGCCATGATAACTCAGACCCTCTCTCAGTCACAGGGGCTTTCTCAGCCGACGATACAGACTGTGTCTCAACCACAAGCACAGACTCAGATACCGGTCCAGCCCCAGGCTTACGCCCCGTCCCAGACACTTCCTGCTGTCACGGCTGCATCGTTACCTCCAACGTTACCAACAGCCAGCATCTCTAACATCCCCCCAGCAGCACTCCCCTCCCTGCCCCCTGCCCAGGCTGCTCCCTTTGTGTCCTCGCCGCCTCCTTCCATTCTCACAGCCGCTGAAGTCGTGCCCGATCACCCGTCAGCCTCTCCCACTTCCTCCCTCACTCCTTCTGTCACCCCCTCCTCTGTTATCCCCACCACCGCCATCCCGGGTCCCCAGCTTGCTCCTGCTGCTCCCGCCCCTTGCTCCACCACCTCTGCGGGGTCCCAAACGGCGACCTCGAGTGTTCCTCTGGTCCARCCGACGTTGGTCCACTCCCAGCCGCAGACGGCAGCTCTGCCGGGTCAGGCGCACATGCACTGCGCCGATTGTGACACAAGGTGAGGGAGGTTCAAAGGGTTTTCTATAATCTTACTGCTTGCGTTATGTTGTGTGGTCGACTTTTCTGAATCATTTTTTGTTCCTCAGGTGTGAGGCCTCCTCTGACTCTTTAGGAAAACCCGATGACATCCAGGCTCTGGACAAAAAGCTGCGATCTCTCTTCATGGACCTTGGTGTCGGCGTGCCCACCGCTCAGGGGGACGTTCCAGCTGCCGAGCTAACCTCTGGAGCCTCTGGAGCAGGAACCTCGTCCTCCGTCGGCTCCTGCTCAGCCTCCATCACAGCCGTCACAGCTCCTGGCTCCACCACGACAGCCAACTCTCCTCAGCCCCCCTCCAGCCTTGCACTGGGCTCACTGTCGTCATCGACACCAATCCAGGGTCCTGGGACTCCGTCATCCACCCCTGCACAACCCAGTAAATAAAAGTTTCCTCATATTTACTGTTATTTTGCCTATAAGTTCTGACTTTATTTATATCTTCACAGTCATCCCTGGCACGTCTACTCCAACTAAAACTCCGTTATCCAGAACATTGGTGAGTTCATCAGCATTTCATATTTAATTAAACCAACGTTTACACTAATATTTATTTGAATATGTTGGTAAAAACATGCATGTTTTAATTTAAATTACAAGAAAATTTTCATTTTGAATCGATACTAATTTATTTCAGGAGCTCTATGATGTCTCCTAGTTACTCTTACGTTTCACCTGGCATGGGAATTCCTTTTTAACATCCTGAAAAAGACTTTTCTAATCTTCTCTCTAAATCTTCTCCCACTTCCTGTTCATTCCATGTTTCTCTGAGGTTAGGTCACTTCTCCTTCAGAACTCCTGACATCCTTCCCTGGACCTTCTCTAATACAGGTGTTTTATTTTTGCTCCTTTTTTAGGACTGCTAGCTCCACTGCAGTGCTTCCCTTTCAATTTTATTCATATTACATGTGTATTATGTGTGCGTGAGTGCTTCTGCTTTGTTTGTTGTTATTTATCTGAATAATTTAATGCTAACAGCTAACAAATTGTGATCGTTCATCATTCATTTTACTCAAATAGTGGCTTTTTAAAACAAGACTGCAATGCTTGACGATTATGCAGCAAAAAAGGGTGAAGAAAATAAAATGACTTCACGGACGAAGAGAGGACACTTCAGGGCAGAGACTTTAATTTGCAGACTTTGTTGTGACTGTGAATGCTTCTGCCTAAAAATAGACTTTTCCTTTCAGCAGAGCAGGACACGTAATAGGGAGACATGAACTGCAGCTCTTTACTGATGAATTTAAGCTGCCATGTTGTAAAATTCCCCCCTCGTCTCTTATGTAACCCAGCCCCCCCTGCGAGACATGTCCCATTTGGTTAAAATAATCCCACTGGAGTTGAAGTTCACCAAGGAGCTTGATTTCCAGTTGTTTTTATTTTAATGTGGTTAAATTGCTCAAGAGAACAGAAGGCATTGCATGTTTTTTTTTTCCCGTTCAGTTTTATTAATTTTACTAGTAGAGCTGTAAGACAGAAGGAATATTGGGGAGCCCAACATTTGGATTTAGAAGTCTCCTCCTTGCTTTTGGCTAATTTTTGCTAGTGCTAACGTGTGTAAAATCAACGCCTCGCTTCGCGTTTGCTTCTGAATTATTTGTCCGCGAACGTCTAACAACATATCTGCCAACCTCTTCAGTCCCAGCAGCCTCTCGAGGACCTGGACGCCCAGCTGAGGAGAGCCCTGAGCCCAGAAACGGTTGCTGTGAGCTCCCACACACAGGTAAACACACACCTTTTAGCCTTTCTGCTCAGGAAACTATCATGCATATTAATCTGAACAAACTGTTTGCTTTATTTTAGGTTCCTCAGAGCAGCGTGCATTCAGTAGGACAACCAAGTATGTGTATTATATTCCCTAAATATGGACATGTTTGTAAAAGATATAATGAATTATGTGATTGAACCAATTACATATATCTGTAATTTATCATTTTCAACTGGTATATTTCCTGACAATATGAAAACAGCCAAGGTAATTCCTMTTTTTAAAAATGGTGAGAAACGTGTTCAAAAATTACAGACCAATATCCTTGTTACCACAGTTTTCTAAAATTTTAGAGAAATTATTTGTCACTAGATTGGATCTATTTATCGAAAAGCACAGTATTTTAAGTAATAGTCAGTATGGTTTAGAGCTAAAAATTCTACATCAATGGCTCTTATGGAATTTAAGGAGCAAATAACAACTGCTATCGATCAAAAACAGCATTGTTTGAGTATTTATGTAGATTTAAAGAAAACATTCAACACAACTGATCACAGTATTCTTGAAAAATTAAGTAAATATGGTATTAGAGGGTCGGCACTACAATGGGTATCTAGTTATTTGAAAGATAGGAAACAGTTTGTACAGATAAATGGTGTAAGATCTAAACTTGGTAATATCACGTGGAGTCCCTCAGGGCTCTGTACTGGGACCTAAGTTATTTATTTTATATGTAAATGACTTAATGTGTCAGGACTTTTCAAATGTGTTTTATTTGCTGACGATACATTTTTTTTTTTTGTTTAGGTAAATATATAGAAAAAATGGTACAGAAAGAATTTGAGAAAATACATAATTGGTTTCAACAAAACAAATTGTCATTAAATTTTGATAAAACAAATTACATGATATTTAGTAACAGGAAGACAACTGGTGATTTCTCATTTAAAGTAGACGGTATTGAAATCTGTAGTCAGTGAGGTGAAATTTCTGGGTGTCATTGATGACAAGCTGACATGGAGACCTCACATACATTATTTAAGAACCAAAATATCTAAATCTATAGGAGTACTGTATAATGTCAGAGAGTTATTAATGACAAAGCTCTGCTTGTGTTGTACAATTCAATAATTGTTCCACATTTAATTTACTGTATTGAAGTCTGGGGTAAAGCTCACAAAACAAATACAAATCCAATTTTTGTTTTACAAAAAAGAGCTGTAAGAATTATCACGAGAAAAGATTACAACCATCCATCTAATACTTTTTTTGTATTTATTTGTATATATGTTTTTTGGTTTTGGTTTATTTTTTATTATTGTATATAGTATTTTTTAATGAAATGAATAAAATTTTAGACTTTTTTTAAAATTGAATTGAATATGTCAAGCTGCATGTCTGTGTTTATGATATTTATTATCCCTCTTTCAGTTCCCTTCTCACTGGAAGAAGAAAAAGTGTCTTCCACTGCTCCTCCTCCATGTGGGATTAAATTAGGAAGATTTCAGGTGAAGTTCTTGCCTCTAGAAATTAAAACTTATCTAGTTTTTTTTTAAATCAACTGGATGTTCATAAGCTAAAGCTAAATAAATTTTGTGTTTTTACTATTTATTTTATTTGTCCGATCAGGTCTCGCTGGCTGCTGAACAGCCTGCCGCCCCCCGCCCCTCCCACCCATCCCGCTCTGTATCTTCCTCCTCCACCTCCTCATCCTCCAGCCTTTCCAGCCCAGAGAACACTTTGCACAAAGACTCCTCATCTCCTTTAAAAGGGGCAGGAGACGATGTTGTGGACGGACTTCCCCAAAAGACTCCAACGAAATCCCTCCCCTCTCCTGTCCCCTCCCCCTGCCACTCCCCCAAGCCCACCACCACGATTGGGCGCTTCCAGGTAATCAGCAACGTCGTTTTTCTCCATCTTTGCTCRTCTCGGCGTCGTGAACATTTATCCAACCCGATCTTTTGTTTCAGGTCACGACAAACCCAGAGTCTCGTGTCGGTAGGTTCCAGGTCTGCCGCACCCCCGAGCAAAGCCTCGAGTCGAGTACGCCTCCTGTTGCCCAGACCGCTAACGGTCCCAGCAGTCCTGGTCAAGTTCTGACTCCAGACTCCCCTCATAAAGCCTCCTTACCCAATCTAAACAACAACTCCTTCAATAACTACTTCAGCAGCGACAATGACTCGGAGTTTGAAGAGGATGATGACTTTAAACGGGAAGTCAGCATCCTCAAAGAAAAGTAAGTCCCTCTTTTCCCTTCCTCTCATTTGTCTGATTATTTCTAACACTACCTTACTTTGTTACCCMACAGGCACATGAAAGAAATTCAGGCCCTCCACTCTCGCCAGAAAGAGGAGATAGAACGTTTGTTTACACGGCTGGGAAAGGTAATTTAAGTTACAGAAACACACGTTACTGTTCAGTCAGCTGTCACCTGCAGTACAAAACAGCTGCTCTGCCTTGCTCCTGGCTCCAGGTTCCTCCAGCTGCAGTCATCCCTCCACTAATCCCCCTGACTGGCAGGAGGCGTCGGCTGACCAAAAGCAAGTCCTCAAAATCGTCCAGAACCAGCTCCACTCACGGCAGCAAGAGTCCATTACAGCAAGGTAGGCGACCATACGGTTCATCAGAAAATGTCGACAAAARCTTCAGTTTCAAACCCGATGTTATGAGAAGAACAAACATAGCATTGTTTTGTTTGTTCGAACAAACTCTCCACTGTGTTCAGTTTGACCCGCGACGTCATCAAAACCCAAACATTTATTGTTACTCTTTCTATGTTCATGCATTTATGTGCACATATGTTTGTTTGTTTTGTTTACATGTGCATGTGGGCGTRCGCTGAATCAGGATCAGAGCTTGAAAATTTCTGATTTTTGTTTYCTCCGTGTTCTCTTGTCCGTGTAAATCTTCTGGGGGATGTGTGTCTTTATCTGTTTGTGTGTTTGTTTGCTTTCCATGTCCGTCCACGTCTTGCCCTCTCTCTTTTTTTTTTCCTTCCTCTCGTCGATGCTTTCGTGCGATGTCCAGGCAGCACTTTATCCGCCCAGAGCGTCCCGGTCATGTACTCCAGCCAGCTGCCCCCGTCAGCCCCAGGAGGAGCAGCTGATTCAGGCAGCGGCACCGTGCTCCAGCCCCTCAAACTCTCCAGTGATAACCTGTGTTCAGCCTACACCAGCGAGGCGGCGCTCTCCGTGCCCAGCCTGTGTGCTCCGACCCCAGGTAAGGATGCCACTGCGAGCTCGCAGAACCTCCACAAACTGTTGCTTTGCACGCACACAAATACAAACCTTGTAATACGTTTTCACAGCGAAMGGATCTCCCGCCTTTCTTGGTTTGAGTAAACAGTGTGATGCTAACTCACTGTTAACATCCTCCAACTCTCTCCTTTCATTTCCCTCATTTCTCCTGTTTTTCTTGTTTCTGTTTCTCTCCTGTTATCTCCATTTGTGCTCTSAACATCTTTCTGCATTCCCCCACCCCCTTCCATCCTTCCTCTCTTCAGGCTGTATAAAGTTCAGCTGGGGTTCGGAGCGTTTGGCCTTCAAGCCTGGCGGCAGGAGGACGCGCTTTCTGAGTACGCCCTGCTTGGCTCTTTGTGTGTAACGCTTTCTTTCTTTGCTCCTCTCTTTTTACCCTTAGCTACGTTTGGTTCCATTGTGGTTTTGTTTTCTTTTCACTCGTGGATCTGTCGAGTCACGGTCATCCTGTCTTCCTGTGGGTTTTCTCTTTTGAGGGAGGAAGTACTGTCAGACCTTCAGGAATTAGTGGAAAACGAGATCAAGTTGCATCGTTTAGTTTCATTAGGTCTTCGTCCTGCGTTCAGAATGATGTATTAAAATGGAAACTCTTTCATGCAGACAGTTTGCACCACTTCACATTTTCAAAGCCGGTTACCTGAAGAACGCAACATTAAAGGGGGGGGGGGTGTATTATGCAGCATAATCGACTCTTTTGAGCTTTATATAATGTTATAATATCACACCCTCATCAAAACGTACCCAGAGTGCTGCTTTGACTTATTTGAGAAATCCTTGAATTTTCTGTGGTAGCCATGTGGAGCTGCATAAACGTTWGATGGTGCAAAGCTCCGCCTATTTATACAAAGTTCAGTCCACAGTTCTGAGAGTTTAAAACGTAAGGTTATGAATATAACCACGGTTCCTTGAAGGAATGGAACGAAGTACAACACACAGTTGTACAGGTGCTGGTCATAAAATTAGAATATCATGAAAAAGTAGATTTATTTC